CGCCGGTGTCAGGCTCTGTGCGACGCAAGCGTGCCACAAACAGGTAGGTGGCGAGGGGGTAGAGAGGGCACGCAGGACAACGCAGGCAACAGCCAACGCCAGGCCTCCCACACGGTCCCTCACAGGAAGACAGAAGGCATAAGGTACAAACACCTGTGAGCGCAGACGACACGCACAACAGATGCATGTTTAAAAAAAAGAAGAAGCCGACGCTCTGCACGCACATATGCACGCACGCCGTCGCAGAGACGGGGCAGAGACGAGTCTATTGAGGACAAGGAGGTGAGGGAGGAGGGGGGAGGATGTCCTGATGTTCTGCAGTTGCCCAACAACACACAGACACATTAAGACTCCCAGGAAGAGGCAAAGTCAGAGAGAACGAGAGGTGTAGCGGGAGAGAGCGAGAGACAGACGGACAGAAAATAATATGTCAGAGAGAAAGAATTACTAAGAGCGAGAGCGAGGGGGGAGAGACACCGAGAGGAGTGGGAGAAAGAGAGACGGGGAAGGAACAGAGGAAAAGGCTGGAAACAGAGAGGCAGCTGGCACTCCAGGGCACGCTGGATGGATAGCTCCTTGTTAGCATAGGCCTGACAGCCTGATGAGAGGGCTGCTGTCAGCCAGCGCCGGGGTCGGGCTTGTGTGAATTTGGGCGATAGGCAGGGCAGAGGCTGGGCTGCGGAGCTGGGGGGCCTCGGCATATGAAAGACTCAGAGGGGGGCCTCCCAGCTGACTAGTTAGAGGAAGGGCCGATGCAGCCCTATTATACGGGCCTATGACAAGGCTGCACGCACGGCTGGCTCCCGCCCCTGCGCCACCGCCGACTCGCTTTTTTTTAAAACAAAAAACAAAAAAAAGAGAAAACAGCGGCGCCGTTCACCTCTGGTCACGAAACAGCAATAAGTCAACTGACGCATTGTTGTACGATCATGATTTATTCCTTTGCTTTTGGCTGCTCGCGCAGCAGCCGTGTACCGACAGACTGACACGCCGGGTTCACCGGGGGCTTTAACACAGGCAGCACCTCGAGCAGGCAGAATAAATGCAGCACATCTCTGAGTGTGTGTGTGTCTACTCCCCGTCTCTCTGCTCGGTTGAGATGCTGGACAGGCGGAGGTGGTGAAAAGCAGCTGGATGGTACTAACGATGTTACTAACAATACTTTCTCTCATACATCTTCTATCTGTAGCAGCAGCAGAAACACTGTCTGTCCATCCAGAGGCTGCCGACTTTAACCAACATTCGGACCAACTCTGACATAATTATAATTCTCTCATCCAGTAACATACTCGATCACAACCGGATAACGAGCCGCTTTCAAGCTAAGTACGTAAACGCTCAGATACGCGGCGTCGAGCCATTTCCGCTTGAATTCGCGGGTCAATCTGCCCGACAACAAAAACATCACAGGAGCAGTAATAACGCCGGGCCTGCTCGCAATCCCAGCGGAGATGTGAAAATACTTCTGTGCTGCAGTTCCTGACATATAACGCTACCAAACCCAAACACCTCTCCCCGAGGAAGACGGATGGATAGATGAGCGGATGAAGAATTGTGGAGGATAAAAGGCTCGCGGAGGTAAAGGTCTGACGTGGAGGCTCTTAAAATATCCTGTCGGCATATATTTGTTAGAAAAACAAGCTGAGATTTGTCTTCGGGCAGCAGAGGACTGTAAATCACAGACAGGGAGAAAATAAAAAAAATCCCCCCCTCTCCCCTCCCCCAAGTGTTCCTGCTGAAACAAAAACAGTCTCACCCTTTAGTCTGATCATTTACATCGTGCACCGCTGCTGTCACTGCACCGTGTGCTGCTTGGATCTCCAGCACAGGTGCTGCTGGTCTGAGGAGCTGAGGGGAGACAGGTGAGATCCTCTAAGGGGCTGAGTCACAGCTCTTCCTGATTATAGCTCCTGTGGGAGAGCTTGGGAACTGTTCCCTGCAGCACCCAAAACGCCACACGTGGGCCCCTGTGGCTGCTAAGTGTTCTGCAAAGGTGGGACCAGCAGATATAGGATGACATCACTTCCCTCTCCCGCCTCACAAACGTTTGGCCTCATCAGCAGCGAGGATGACGGAGAGATTTCCTCCCTCGTGCAAACATCAGAAGCAAGTTTCCCGCCTCTGTGGACATCAATGCGTTCCCATTATAGGACGCAAATAATCCAGCTTTATGGTGGGCTGCCCGTCAGACCGGGCGGGGGCGGAGGGGTCGACGGATCTCAGATAAATATTCTCAGCATACTTGTTAGGGTTTGATATCCTGCTGGAATATTGATGAAGGGACTCGTGTTCAATCTATGCTTCAGCCACATACTTTATAACGAGGGCGTTAGCGCTCCACACGAAGGCATCAACAGCCCCACACGTGCACGCGCCGGCTCGAAGCTCCACCTCGACTCGAATCACAAAAAGAAAAGCACAAAGAGTGTTTGTGGAGCGTCTGGCGGCTCGGACTCACAGTGCTGAGCTTGCTTGAGGTAATGATGATGCGGCGTTCGTGCAGCATGCTGGCGTAGAGCTGGAGCATGTTGTTGACGTCCACGGCCACGAAGTACTCGGTCAGGTTTCTCTGGAGATGGACAAGAACAGGAGGACATTCAGGTTGGTAACAAACTGTCCCGGCACAACTCGTTTGCAGTAAAGCGCCGACGCTGCAGCAGTTGCACGATTGCACGCACTGTTTGGGAGAAGGAGGACAAACTTGTGCTAACTGCGTCCCCGCCTTAACGCTTCGAGCTGAGACTTGAATGCAGAAATCAACAAAGGACTTGAGCTCAGTTTGAATCTAGCAACAGCCATGCCAGTCTGTGAACCTTGACATTAAAAGCAGAAGCACCGCAGGAGCTGAAGCTGATACAAGAGCGTGATGCAATCGTTTCAAAGAGTGACATGTGTATCTGATTAAAAACGATTAGAGGCGAAGATGTTCCCAGAATACAGGGATTTCTCTTTATCTCTTCTTCCTTTTCTTTTCCACGCATACTTACACTCTCAGGGATAGTTGGCAGTCCATTGATATCCGGGGCGATGAAGTAGGAGTGCTGCGAAAACACAAACATGAGGAGAAAGAAGAGGGAAGGTCACGAGCGAGGCACGCAGGAGAGAACGAGGGGAAGAGGGAGAGAAAAAGGCCGTTCACTTTGTTCTATGATTTATGGCTCATCTTCAGCTCTGTCTATATGAATTGCTGAGCTGGTGTCTGAACTGTGGCAATGCTTTTATCAGGCCTACAGAACAGAGAAAGCTCAATAGCAGCTCAGCTCCCCGTAGACACCGACTGGGGTGATGTCTCCGGTGGAAAACGGAGTCTTTATTTAAGCGTTAAAAAGGCTCGCGGAGAGCGCGCGTGCGCGACTGCGCGCAGACACACACTCTCGGGTTGTTTAGAGGATCACAGGGCTGCCTGTCTCACTTTGGGAGAGCAGGGCAGGTTCAGTGTTCAGATCAAAGAGGCCTGAGAGAGGTGCTGTTTGGAGGTAGACAAACCACCAGGTGAAACACACTGTTGTGTGTCTCGCACACACACTCTCCTGGAAGTACAGCTGCGCTTCTCTGAGGCCTCGACTCAACCATCTGTTGCAGCTCGTTCACACGTTAGAGTCTGAAACACACGCTGAGACAAATCAGGTTAAAACGGTAAAACTCTTTACATCATTAAACAGTCGTTTACATTGGGAGTAAACAGCAATGAATTACACAACAATGAAATCCTGCACCACCACCAGCACCACCCATTAAAAGTCCACCACAGTCAGGCAGGAAAAAAGCATGGAAACTTACTGCACAGGTGTCCAACTCCAGGCCTCGAGGGCCGGTGTCCTGCAGGTTTCAGATGTGTCCTTGATCCAACACAGCTGATTTAAACGGCTAAATGACCTCAACATGTCTTGAAGTTCTCCAGAGACCTGGGCTGTGTCCCAATTCAGGGTCTGCAGCCTTAAAGGCTGCA